GCAAGGGTTTTAAAGGAATGTAAAGAGGAACTTAGCATACCTTTGGTTAATCTTTTCAATATATCACTACAAACTGGCCTAGTGCCAGACAAGTGGAAAATGGCAAATGTAATATCTATTTACAAGGCAGGTGATAGGTCCTTAGCTTCGAACTATAGACCAATAAGCCTTACCTCCATAGTTGGTAAATTTATGGAATCAATAATTACTTAAGCAATTCGTATCCATCGTGAAAGGCATCAATTGATTAATGAATCTCAACACGGTTTTACAGAGGGGTGTCCCTGTCTTACGAATTTACTAACTTTCTTCACTAAGGTATTTGAGGAGGTAGATCATGGTATTGAATATGATATTGTGTATATGGACTTCACTAAGGCTTTCGATAGAGTTCCATATCAGAGGCTGTTGACAAAACTAAAGGCACACAGAATAGGAGAATTTTTTTCCTGGGTAGAGGCATGGTTGACAAATAGGCAGCAGATTATTATTATAATCAAGGGGAGAAGCAGCTAACCGGAAGGTTTTATCAGCGCCTGGGGGGGGATGTAAGGCATTCAGGCTTAATTCGGGGAACTGGAGCACAGATCCAATTCCCTAAATCAAGAGCCCCTCACCAACATCAAGGAACCTTCCTTGAGGGGGAATAGGCAGCAGAAGTTTGCATAAATGGGAGAAATCAAATGGGGGCACGTCACAAGCGGTGTTCCACAGGGCTGTTGGACCTTATTGTTCCAATTTACATAATGAACATAAATGGGAATAAATAGCGACATAAAAAATTGCGATGACACCAAAATACGGCCGTCCAATTCATTTAATAGGACATAGAGCACTCCAGGATATTTGAATAGACTGATACAGTGGTTCGGAGAAGTGCAAGAATGCAGTTCATAATGACAAATGCAAAATTTAAATTAGTTGTTTGAACATGGAAATAACCATGCCACACATAAAATAAATCGTAGATCAAATACGGATTGCGAAAAGGATTAGGAAGTTGTGGTTCAGTAATTGAAACCCAGACAACAGTGCTTAAGGTTACTAAGGCATAACGAATCCTTGAAAGTAGCAATAGGAAGCATAATAATTAGAAGTCTAGGTTGTTCTTCAACTATATATCTTTGGTTAGGCTTCATTTAGAATATGCTGCGCAGTTTTAGTCACCGTATTACAGAATGGATATAAATGCACTGGAAAACGTACAAAGGAGGATGACAAAGTTGATCCCATGTATTAGAAATCTTCCCTATGAGGATAGACTGAGGGCCCTGAATCTGCACTCTCTAGAAACGCGTAGAATTAGGGGAGATATGATTGAGGTGTATAAGTGGAAAACAGGAATTAATAAAGGGGATGTAAATAGCGTGCTGAAAATATCTAGCCTAGACAGGACTCGCAGCAATGATTTTAAATTGGAAAAATTCAGATTCAGGAAAGATATAGGAAAGCACTGGTTTGGTAATAGAGTTGTGGATGAGTGGAAAAAACTCCCGAGTACCGTCATAGAAGCTAAGACGTTGTGTAGTTTTAAAAATAGGTTGGATAGATACATGAGTAGGTGTGGGAGGGTGTAACTAGCTTGTGCTACTAGGTCGGATGCCGTGCTCCTCCCTTAAGTGAATGTGACTGACCTGACTAGGTCAAGGCATTGGCTTAAGCCGGTGGGAGAATTGGACCTGCCTCGCATGGGCCAGTAGGCCTGTTGTAGTGTTCCTTCTTTCTTATGTTCTTAATACTAAACATTCACAACATTAAACATTCACAACACTAAACATTCACAACATTAAACACTCAAAATACAAGTATTACACCCACAACAACGGATATAGCCCTACTCCATAAATTTGGCAGCAAAGCAATAGCTAAGAATTATAAACCAATACCTCTAACGTCTCACATCATAAAAAAAATTTGAAAGTTCTAAGAAACAGGATTACAAATCACTTGGATTCCCAACAACTGCACAATCCAGGGCAACATGGGTTCAGAGCAGGTCGCTCCTGCCTCTTGCAACTACTGGACCACTATGATATGGTCTTGGATGCACTGGAAAACAAACAGAATGCAGATGTAGTATACACAGATTTTGCAAAGTGTTTGACACATGCGATCATGATGTAATAACACACAAAATGCGTGCTAAATGAATAGCTGGCAAAGTAGGCAGACAAATCTTCAACTTTCTAACCAACTGAACACAAAGAGTAGTGGTAAACAGCATTAAATCGCCATAGTGAAGACCTCTGTTCCACAAGACACAGTACTCGCCCCCATCCCGTTTCTCATCCTCATATCAGACATAGACAGAGATGTAAACCACAGCACCGTGTCATCCTTTGCAGACGATACTAGGATCTGCACGAGAGTGTCATCTATTGAGGACACGGTTAACCTCCAAGAAGATATAAACCAAGTTTTCCAGTGGGCAACGGAGAACAATATGATGTTCAATATAGACAAATTCCAACTACTCCGTTATGGAAAACTGGAGGAAATAATAACTAGGACTGAGTATACTACAAAATCTGATCACACAATAGAGTGAAAAAATAATGTGAGGGACCTGGGAGTGGTAATGTCTGAGGATCTCACTTTCAAGGATCACAACAGTGCCACGATCACAACTGCACAGAAAATGGTAGGATGGATAATGAGAACGTTCAAAACAAGAGATCCCAAGCCAATGATGATCCTTTTCAAATCATTTGTTCTCTCAAGGCTGGAATATTGCTGTACATTAACATCTCCGTTCAAAGCAGGTGAAATTGCAGATCTAGAGTGTACAGAGAACCTTTACTGCACATATAAGTTCCATCAAACACCTCATCTACCGGGAACACTTGGAAGCACTTGACTTGTACTCGTTGGGACGCAGGAGAGAGAGATTTATCCTAATCTAAACTTGGAAAAATCCTAGAAGGAATGGTCCCGAATCTGTACACAGAAATCACTCCCTTCGACAGTAAAAGACTGGGCAGGCGGTGCAAAATACCCCCAATGAGAAGCAGGGGCACCATTGGTACACTAAGAGAAAGCACCATAAGTGTCCGGGGCCCAAGACTGTTCAACAGCCTCCCACCATTCATAAAGATAATTACCAATAGGCCCCTGGCTTCCTTCAAGAGGGAGCAGGACAGACACTTAAAGTCGGTGCTGGATCAGCCGGGCTGTGGTTCGTACGTTGGACTGCGTGTGGCCAGCAGTAACAGCCTGGTTGATCAGGCCCTGATCCACATGGAGGCCTGGTCGTGGACCGGGTCGCGGGGACGTTGATCCCCGGAATACCCTCCAGGTAGACTCCAGGTACTCATGGCGACCCTGTTTTTCAGTGAGGGTATATTGCACCGTCTCCCTAGTCTTTTGCTTTCCTAGGGAGCAATTTCTATGCGCAGATTTGGGACCAGTCCTTCTAGGCTTTTCCAGTTGTAGGTTATGATGTACCTTTCTCGCTGGCGTTCCTAGGAGTACAGGTCAAGAGACTTAAACGTTCCCAGTAAGAGGCGACTCAACTTGAAAAATCACAGAACGAGATGTTCGTGTCGTGTGTGTTAAGGTTTATCAAGGCAATGTTCAGCCTTCACTTACTTATCTTTGAAGCGATACGAATTTTTATCAGGTTTTCAACTTTCTGCAGCGTTCGTGGAGTCAAGTAACTCACTAAGTCTGTCCGTGACATAAACAATATCACTAACCAACCACACCATGTCACTTACCGCACCTTGTGGCTGGTCTTTATTTTGTACCATTTTAAATAAACATTTCTTTAGGTTAGGCAAGTTAAGGTTTTGTCAAGAAACAAGACGAGTGTTTCGTGACGAGGGTCTTAGTCATATTATGATCCACAGCTAAAGCTTTTGGTTATATAACTGATGCCTTCCACCGGCTTACAAGCTCACGCCTGCAAAAATTTTGAGGTCAGCTGTATTTTGTTTGTATTTTCTAAGATACTAAAAGAATTATACAATGGAGACTATTGTATTGTGGGTTTAATATTAATATAATTTATAGTTGAAGCCAAAAATAATAGTAACGGAACCTAAGTTAAGTAACCCGGCCTAGAAGCCTAGATGAATTGTAGGTTAGACCAGGCTGGATTAGTTAGACCAGGCTGGATTAGTTAGACCAGGCTGGATTAGTTAGACCAGGCTGGATTAGTTAGACCAGGCTGGATTAGTTAGACCAGGCTGGATTAGTTAGACCAGGCTGGATTAGTTAGACCAGGCTGGATTAGTTAGACCAGGCTGGATTAGTTAGACCAGGCTGGATTAGTTAGACCAGGCTGGATTAGTTAGACCAGGCTGGATTAGTTAGACCAGGCTGGATTAGTTAGACTAGGCTGGATTAGTTAGACTAGGCTGGATTAGTTAGACCAGGCTGGATTAGTTAGACCAGGCTGGATTAGTTAGACCAGGCTGGATTAGTTAGCTCAAGTTTAGCAAAAATATTACTAGTTCCTTTTGTACACCCCACTTAGTGGTGAGCGATTTATATAATGAAAAACAAAAATAAGGTTAATATATTCCTTTAATAATAATAATAATAAGAAGAAATAATAATAATAATAATAATAATAATAATAATAATAATAATAATAATAATAATAATAATAATAATAATAATAAACTAATTATTATTATTACTATTATTATTATTATTATTGTAAATAAAATACAATTATTCTCAACGTAAATATAGTTTCAATTATTGGTATGGCAACATCCCCCAAAATACACGTTACTGCTGGAGGTTGACTGCCTTGCCACTGATGGCAACATCATATCACACTACTACCATCACTCGTAGGCTCATACTAGCTAAATTACGTCGCTATAACGTAACTCATACCGTCGTTTAATGAGAGTAGTTGACTGTTGGGGTATCCGTCAAGTTAAAAGATTGGAAAGCGGAAAAGTATAAGGGGTTTCAGGGGAGTTTAATGGTTTCACTGGCAACCTGGAGTGAGGCTGGAGGAGCGAGAGGGGGATGGAGGAGCGAGACGAAAGTGATGTCAGTTTCTCTGGAGGTGCAGTGGAGAGTGTGTGTATAGTAGCGGCTCTCTGTCATGATCTGTGACTTGGGTGTACCGTCGGTGTGCAGTGGGAGGGACAGTGCCATGCACCTCCAGCCGCTGTGATGCGGCCTCAGGAGAGGACAATGAGAGTGAAGCTTCGCAGTGTGGTGCAGCAAGTTTGTCTAGGCTGCGCCGCCCTCACCGTCTGTGTGTTGGTCTTGCAAAATTTAGCGCAGGGCCTGCGTGATTCTGGCCGTGGAGGCGACACGGCCTCCACCACATACCCCGTGGCACATGGCTGGCCCGAGCGTGCCCCTAGGTCCCTCAACAGGGACTATATGCCCGCTGGAGGGGAGAACACCTTGGAGGAGGTGGTTGAGGAACCAGGAAGAGTGAAGGAGGAGGAGGAAGAAGAAGAGAGGAGAAGAGGACTGTTGAACACTCTGGTGGCTACAGCGACGGCCAAGCCAGCCACGACCCTCGACGATATCTTCATCAGTATCAAGACCACTAAGGCCTTCCATAAGACTCGTCTAGACCTGGTGCTCAAGACCTGGTTCAGCCTAGCACGTGAGCAGGTGGGTCTTCTTCCAATGTTCTACATTAGTGAAATGAAAAGATTAACTTCGACTATTATTAACCCAGAGGGATAGTAACCCTGGATAGCCCTCTCCCCCAAAACATGGCAGTGTGGCTTATTTCCATTGGAAATAAACAACTATGATTGATTGTCATTGGAAATAAGCAACCATGATTGATTGTGTTATGATGGTCTTGTGTTTTGATGGTGTCTTGTGATGGTAACCCAGGATAGTCAAAAAGAATGGCAGCTTGGCTTATTTCCATTGTTTTGTGATGTGTAGTGATGGTGTGTTGTTGTTTTGATGGTGTGTTATGTGTTTTGTTGATATGATGGTGTGTTGTGTTTTGATGGTGTGTTTTGTGTTTTATGGTGTATTGTGTCATGATTGTGTTGTGATGGTGTGTTGTGTTGCGATTGTGTACTCATCGTTATTACACGCTTTTAGAATGCATCCAGCCTTCGTAGGGGGTAAATTATGACATATCTTCCCCCCCCCCCCATTCCCTTGCGTTCCAGGGAGAACAGTTTGAGGCAGTTTAAAACTTTCTAGACGGTGAGGTTTGAGTGAACTGATGCGAGCAACAAAAGTTCATTTGTTGAACAGGCTCCCAGTGGCCTGGCTGGCAAAGCTCTTTTTTTTCACACGGAGGACCAAGGTTCGATTACCGACGGGGTGGAAACATTTCAACATTACACCTGTTGTCCTGTTCACCTAGCAAGTAGGTAGGTACCTGGATGTTAGTCGACTGGTGTGGGTCGCATCCTGGGGGACAAGATTGAGGACCTAAATGGAAATAAGACAGAAAGCCCCTCGTTGACGAACTGCCTTTCTTGGGTTATACTGGGTGACTAACCCTCCGGGGTTAAAAATCTGAATAAAATCTTATCTCTTATCAGGTCTGTGGCGTTGACCTTAAGCTCCTCTGTTTGCTAAGGGAACCCAGGAGCTTATTTCACAACCATAACAATAACGTGGACAATTACAGTGATAACCAGTATATCAGTGAGCACTAGCAGTGATAAGAGCTGCCATTAATAATAGTAATAATTATAAAAACAATCACAGCAGTCATATCAAATATAAGAGTCGCTAGCAGTGATAACAGTCACTGTAACAATGGTAAAAAAAAATAACAATAGTCAGTGTACCATCGTTATCATAGTTATTAACAAGATAGTCGGTATAGAATTACATGCATTATGCACTATTATTACGAGTGATGGTGAGGTGTTATTATATGATGATGAGGTGTTATTATGAGTGATGGTGAGGTGTTATTATGAGTGATGGTGAGATGTTATGGTGATGGTGAGGTGTTATGAGTGATGGTGAGATGTTATGGTGATGGTGAGGTGTTATTAAAACAGGTTCCTGGGCCTTTACGAACTGTTTTGAATGTTATCATAGGACACAAGAGGAAACTTAGTGAAACAAGCAATACTCATGAGTAAGAAACACAAGCTAGACTCATCAGTAACACATGCAACACTTGGATATGTTTACTGGCCTAAGTCTTCGCCCCCATAACAGGCTTTTTCGGTCGAATGCAACACTGGTGAGAGCAGAAGCCGTCTCGACGTGGTCAGTCCGTCAGCCTTTAGTAATAAAGGTATCCAGGTGTTGCACATGTGTCATGTAATAAAAATAATAATATCTTTATTTACTACAAGTACATATACAAGGTATACAGACTATTTACTACAAGTACATATACAAGGTATACAGACCGTAGCTGACGTCAGTGACACACTATATGAGAAGTCCCTTGTTATGCAGAGCATTTTGGGCAAATTAGGTCAGTTTTGTCTCAGGATGCGACCCACACCAGTCCACTAACACCCATGTACCTATTTTACTGGTTGGTGAACATGGAAAGCAGGTGTCTTAAAGAAATACGACCTAACGTTTCCACCCGTACCGGGTGTAATCAGTCCATCACCCTTGAAGACGTAGTTATGAGGTGGTCAGTCCCTCAGCCTGGAGAGAATAAAGATGACTAACTGTTGCACTAGTGCCTTACTTATCAACCTGTCGGCATTGTGTACCATTTTAATATTCACTCAGATGTTGCACGTGTCTAATTCTTTACTAAGCACCTTCCGCTTTTTCAATAACAAAAACATAAGACAGGAGGAGCACTGCAGCAGGCCTACTGGTCCATGCTAGGCAAGTCCTAGTCACCTACTGGCCCAAACGATTCAGGTCCAACTAACACCCACCCACACCCACTAATGTATTTATCAAACCTATTTTTAAAACTGCACAACGTCTTAGCTTCTATAAAGGAACTTCGGAGTTTGTTCCACTCATCCACAACTCTGTTACCAAACTAGTGTTTTCCTATATCACCAAACCAGTGTATTCCTATATCCTTTCTATATCACTACAAATTGGTATAGTCTCTGATGTGCGGAAGGTGCTTAGTAAAGAATTAGACACGTGCAACATCTGAGTGAATATTAAAATGGTACACAATGCCGACAGGTTGATAAGTAAGGCACTAGTGCAACAGTTAGTCATCTTTATTCTCTCCAGGCTGAGGGACTGACCACCTCAAAACTACGTCTTCAAGGGTGATGGACTGATTACATCCTCTTCACATCTCTACTGTTTCTGCAGATTTTTCTGTACTCTACTGAAGAAGCTTACAGTGTAAGCGAAATGTTTCGGAAGAAAGATGCCTAACTGTTGCACGTCTGGGTATCTGTACTTTGTAGACGTTTCGCGCTCTAGTGGCTTTAACAATACTGAATACAATACATGGATATAGTGTGATGATTGTGGAACTATATACAGAAGACAGTAGAAGACGAGGTAATCAGTCCCTTAGCCGTTTAGGAGCAGGTGATGGTGGGCAGTGCTGAGAGATGCTGGTGATGGTGGGCAGTGCTGAGAGATGCTGGTGGTGGTGATGGTGGGCAGTGCTGAGAGATGCTGGTGATGGTAGGCAGCACTGAGAGATGCTGGTGATGGTGGGCAGTGCTGAGAGATGCTGGTGGTGGTGGGCAGTACTGAGAGATGCTGGTGATGGTGGGCAGTGCTGAGAGATGCTGGTGATGGTGGGCAGTGCTGAGAGATGCTGGTGGTGGTGGGCAGTACTGAGAGATGCTGGTGATGGTGGGCAGTGCTGAGAGATGCTGGTGATAGTGGGCAGTGCTGAGAGATGCTGGTAATGGTGGGCAGTACTGAGAGATGCTGGTGATGGTGGGCAGTACTGAGAGATGCTGGTGGTGGTGGGCAGTACTGAGAGATGCTGGTGATGGTGGGCAGTGCTGAGAGATGCTGGTGATGGTGGGCAGTACTGAGAGATGCTGGTGGTGGTGGGCAGTACTGAGAGATGCTGGTAATGGTGGGCAGTACTGAGAGGTGCTGGTGGTGGTGGGCAGTACTGAGAGATGCTGGTGGTGGTGGGCAGTACTGACAGATGCTGGTGGTGGTGGTGGGCAGTACTGAGAGATGCTGGTGATAGTGGGCAGTACTGAGAGATGCTGGTGGTGGGCAGTACTGAGAGATGCTGGTGATGGTGGGCAGTGGTGATGGTGGGCAGTGCTGAGAGATACTGGTGATGGTGGGCAGTACTGAGAGATGCTGGTGGTGGTGGGCCTCCTTACTGACCTGGCTTTATCTTCTGGCATGAACTATTTTTAACCCTAGGGACCTGACTTGACCTGACCTTTCTTGCGCCCAGTTCTTCCTCCTCTCCCGTAAACCTCACTAAACACTTCTCTGCTTAAGAGTCAGGTGCTCATGAACAAGTGTTCCGAGGCGGCTGGCATTCGTCAGTAGGCCGGGGTACTCACGCCGTTTTAAAATTCATTACAAAAAAAAAATAATAATAATAAAAAGGGGCAATATTCGTTGTTTATGTGAAGTAAAGATGGTTGTCCATAAACCTGCTCGTACCAACCCACTTGTTTTAGCATAATTGTTCAGTCTACCTGTTGGAACAATATGCTCTAGCCTATCTCCGTGAATCTACTTTTCCTGGTCAAACACACCTGTGCAAACCTTCCTAGTTGAATACACCTGTGCCATCACACAGGTACCTGGAGGTTACCTGGAGGTTATTCCGGGGATTAACGCCCCCGCGGCCCGGTCCATGACCAGGCCTCCCGATGGATCAGGGCCTGGTCAACCAGGCTGTTACTGCTGGCCGCACGCAGTCCAACGTACGAGCCACAGCCCGGCTGATCCGGCACTGACTTTAGGTATCTGTCCAGCTCTCTCATGAAGGCAGCCAGGGGCTTATTGGCAATTCCCCTAATGCTTGATGGGAGGCTGTTGAACAGTTTTGGGCCCCGGACACTTATGGTGTTTTCCCTTAGTGTACCAATGGCGCCCCTACTTTTTATTGGCGGCATTTTGCATCGCCTGCCCAGTCTTTTACTTTCGTAGGGAGTGATTTCTGTGTGCAAATTTGGGACCATTCCTTCCAAGATTTTCCAAGTGTAGATTATGATATATCTCTCCCTCCTGCGTTCCAACGAGTACAAGTCAAGTGCTTCCAAGCATTCCCAGTAGTTAAGGTGCTTTTACAGAACTTATACGTGCAGTAAAGGATCTCTGTACACTCTCTAGATCTGCGATTTCACCTGCTTTGAATGGAGAGAACAAGTGATTTGAAAAGGATCATCATTGGCTTGGCATCTCCCGTTTTGAAAGTTCTCATTATCCATCCTATCATTTTGGCCGGAGTCAGTAGTATACTCTGTTCTAGTTATTATCTCCTCCAGTTTTCCATAACGGAGTAGTTGGAATTTGTCCTCATTGAACATCATATTGTTTACCGTTGCCCACTGGAAAACTTTGTTTATATCTTCTTGGAGGTTAACCGCGTCCTCAGCAGATGACAGCCTCATGCAGATCCTAGTATCATCCGCAAAGGATGATACGGTGCTGTGGTGTATATCTCTGTCTGATATGAGGATAAGGAATAAGATGGGGGCGAGTACTGTGCCTTGTGGAACAGAGCTCTTCACTATGGCAGCCTCCGA